GGTACCGGGGATCGAACTCACGACTGCCTGCTTCCAAGGCAGGCGCTTATGCCGCTGAGCTAAATCCCCAGCCCCTATACAGACTGTCTTTAGACACATTTACAGGTATGTCTGCTGTGAGATACAGCAAGGTAGGCCTGTAATGTGGTTGTAAAACAATCTGCCAAGCTGAGAGTAAAGTTTAGAAGGAAGAGTTTAATGAGTGAGTACACGTACAGAACCAGGCAAGACAATGGCAAGAACATCATCTGTCTTTGACTCTGTACCTTGCTTTCATGGGCAATTACTTTCTTCTTGGGCTTCCTCCAATAGCAGTTGAGCCAATGACATAAGAGCATCAATTTAGAACTTCTTGTGGCTGGACCTAAGTCAGAGCTTACTGGAACTCTCCAAAGCATAAAGGCATGCCCAGGGCCTGCCTGAGGCATGCCCCAGAGCCACTGCTATTGTACATAAAACTAGTAGATGGGTTGTTCACCTCAAAACAGAGTCCATCATTTCTGGTGTAGAACTGTACCATATCTCAGGGGGGCTGGATCCATGACCAGGTCCTCCTCTATAAGAACATTCCTTCCCTCACTCGGTCTGGATTCATTTTTTCCCTATGTGACTGGGTAAGGAACTGTGTAACTTGTTTGTTAGCCATCAAGGAAGGGAAGGACAAATTCTCCAGGCACTCCTACCTGCTTAGAGGCTTCCTCCTGTTCACTGAAGTTAGGTCAGAGCAGGGATTCACTGTAAAGAGATTCTCAAGTGTTTAGCACTAGGGCATATAAGGGAAGCGGGTGGAGCCCTAGCAAAATCCAGCATAGGCTGAACCTCAGCCTCGGCCTCAGCTTAGCTGAGTCTCTGATGTCATAATTTCTTTTTTCATAGCAGGTATAGAACTGTTCCTCTATCTTTCTGCGCAGGCCTTCCCATGGGAGTGACACTGCTCGGTGCTTGGTCACTTACTTATCTTTATCTCCTCCCGGATCAGCCTGATCCTCATTCATTCTTTCTAGCATCAAGCATAAATCTAATAAAGGCTCCTTGGATAAGGAATAAATAAATGAATGGATGAATGAGTAAAGGTCATATATGGAAGCCAAAAGAATGACCAAGATGCTTATCATGTCCTTTAAAGATCAGCCAAATGGGGCATGGAGCATAGCAAAAATTCTGTTATCTTCTGGTACATCTTTAATTGCATGAATCTGTTAGAGACAGGAAGACAGTGTGGCTAAAGGTAGCAGAAATAGAAGGCAGGACAAAAGCCCAGAGCACACCCAGAAAGGTTCCCGAAAACCTGCAGAGAGACTTCTCGTGAGCACTTGGGCAGGTTTCGGATAGGATGATGCAGGCTATGAAAAGGGATAGTCGGCAATAAGCACCTGATATTGTGTCTCTCTCTTTGATGCCGCCCACCCTACACTGTCGGTGTATTTTTATTTTTGTTTCTTCCTTTTTAGTTGGCCCAAACCTGCTCTGCAGAGCCCATTTCCTCCCTACCTTTCTGTTTTTTCCCACCTTTAACAAATGTGAAACTTTGCCACTGTTTATGCTTTTGTTTAGTTCTTTGTTCCAAAGAGAAAAGCCCTAGACATCATCTCTAAAAAGAGACCCCAGCATCCTACAACCTGGGAACTGTTGTACCCTAAGAAAATAGCTTTGTTATATGTGTATTACAGCAAACCTGTATAGGGGCTTACTAAATGTGTTTGTTTTATCTTTTTTTTTTAACTGATATGTTAAGGGACCTAATTGATCTGTTGAGCAACACTCTCTTCTGTAAAGAATTGTAAGAATCTCACCTAATTGATATGTTAACCATTGTTGCTCTCTATAAACTACAGAAGCTGTGTTAAAACAAGCTAACAAGGGTTGTTAATCACTGTTAGGAGCCTTTATTTTTCTCTAAAGAGCTAAGGAAAACTAGAATGGCAATTAATTTACATTGTGTGCAGAGAGATTTGCGTGTGAGTTTAACCCTTTACCCTGACCTTGACACATTACTGCCGTTTTCTGTTCTGTATGGCGCCTTATTGCCTCCCTCTCCCCTCACCTATCTATCTAGGCCATAAAGAATTTGGGTTTCTGGTGACCTCCCCCTGACCCGGTGATGATCTGTTGTAAAATGAGCCTGCCCCAATTTTAAAAACTGCTTAGCTTAAACAAATTACCGGGTAATACTATGGCCCAAATCCCAATCGGTGCTTTCCTTTTGTTCTGTATGTATCAAATGAGTTAGATATCAGGTCTTCATAAAACTTAAGTTCCAGCGTCTCATAACTTGTGACCCCTTCGCACTCACTAGCGAAGACAAGCTGTCCTGAGATAATTAACTGTCCACTTTCTTCTCCAAATATTGCTGCAGACGTGCCACTCTGAGATAATGTCAGTCTGCAGGATGAAAATAATTTTTAAAAAACACCAGAAACTCCCTAGATTGTCAGAGCTAAGTGGACAGCAATACAGTTTCCAGACTCGGGTCAACAAGTTTGATGGCTCTACAGGTTTCTTTGTTTCTCTCCCCCCGCCCTTTCCTCCAGCCCCCTTTTAAAGTCCTCCCTTCAGCTTCTAGGGGACAGTCTCCAAATTGGCTCCCGGAGACTGGTCGCCAGGCCTGGAAATAAAGCCTTTGCCACTAAATTTTCGGTCTCTTGCCTCCTTGGATTTTATACCGGGGCTCAAGTTATAACAGGAACGCATATGCATGTGGGTGTGAGAGCGCATGTATTCTCATAACTACACCTTTGGACCCTTAGGAAATGCAGAGTCCTGGACTATGGTGAAAAGGAAGCTTCAACAATGCTGCAAATGTCAGGTAGCATTTATAAAAAGGCTTTTTCAGAGCATTTGTGGAACTATCTACGCAATGAATTTACAGAGCGTGAGCCTAGGTTATGAGTAGGAAGTTGGTACCAGGAATACCAATTTGATTTGTCTTCTTCTGCCCAGATAGCCAAGCAGTTTATCTCAGTTTATTTGGGTGATTGTAGTGTGATGAGATTAATCAAGGGATACCTATAGCAACACCACCTATTCAGTTAGCATCAAATAACCACAAGCAGTGCTTGTGAGATTTTAATAATACTTGCATGGTTCTATTTTGATATTATAAAATGATTCAACTTTAAAAAATGAGTCAGGAAGTCTATCACATCATTCATCCCAGCGGCAGAGAACTTTGGAGAGATTTTCAGAGATCTTTGATGAGTCATCAGAAAAGAGTTAATCACGCCCTGGTTGACATCTCAATGGGCTATAAGTAACAAAGCAACATTACAATGGCACCAATGTACAAAATTTCTTTAGCAGGAAGTTCTAAATAGACACATTTATGATTCTGTCCAAGCAGTTGATTGTAACTAAGAGAAGTTCAGGTAATGAATTTTTGTGAAAAAGGTTCTCCATCTCTCCCAACTTTGGAGCTTTTTCCGAGGAGCCTGAACTTTGGGTAGTATCTAGAGAATGGTGTGACCAATGATTCTTCTGTTCACTGAATGATACTGAGCTCCCTTTGCATGAGCAACTTATTTTACAGAAAGGTTTTCTTTTATTTTTCTTTGGGCCCCTTTCTAGAACCAAGAAGATACTCAGGAAATATTTGTTGATTGATAGACCGAAACAAAATGGATATTCCCATAGTAATTTCATGGCTGCATTGTAGTTGACAGGATTTATTGTATCTATAAAGCTTTCTTAAATTTATGAGTTGTTAAGTCCTAGAGATTATTGCTTTCTTTTGCATTCTTCCTGCAATAAAGGTTTTTTTGTATTCTCCGTGCTATCAAAATCAGCTGCTGATGGTTCCCTTAAGTCAGTTACCTAAGGAATGGGGTTCACATCTTATTTTAGTGAGTACCCTACAGTCACCCTGTGTTCAACTAGAGTCTTAGGCTGTTGACCTTGAAGGCTTAATGCAGAACCATGCTTAGTGATTTCATCCTTTTAAATTCTAGCATTCTCACTGGTGTGTGTGTGTGTGTGTGTGTGTGTGTGCACATGTGTGTGTGTATGTAAGAGGGGAGAGTGAGAGAGAAAGAAATATTTTCATATACTCCAGTCTAGGACCATTGTCAGGGAATCTTAAAAGAATTAAACCCCCTAAGTGTCCATGACTCAGAGATATAGAAAATGGTAAAGAACTAAAGAACTGACTTGTTACAGGGCTGAGGTAGAATGTGGAAAAGGACCTATCACCAGTCTGGGTCTGAGAGATTCCTAAATCTCAAATAAAGAATTTAACCTGCTTTTTTGTAGAGTAAGTTTGCAGGTTTCCTGACTCCTGTCACGGATAACGAATTTTCAGGATGTGTCAGTTAAAGACATGGTAAGGTTTCATTAGGCAGAAATTATGGTGCACTCCAGAGTGGAGTGTGGGCACCCTGAGAAATGAGAGGCATTTCAGTTTGGAAATGGGAACACTTATATTTTTGGTAGTAGGAGTCTGTGGAATTTGGTAATACATAGTCTTGATCTTGGTCTGGTGGGTGGGGGAGGATGGCCCAACTATAGTAAGATGACCTGTTGGTAGCCTAATTTGGTTGGTAGCCTAATTTACAGTGAAAGGAGCTATGTGGTAGATATCAGGGGTCTTGGTTTGGTGGGTGGGGAAGGATGGCCCTCTTAGAGTGAGATGACTTGTATGCTTCAGGGGTAGCCTACTTTACAGGTGAAAAGGTAGCCTATTCATGGGTGAAAGAGAACAATTTGCAAGTAAAAAGGAAATGAACTCATTTGCAGGTGAAAGAGAAATTGCCAGGCTTGCTGTGTTTCAGGAAAAGAGATAAATAAGTAAGTAAATAAACTGGGCTTGAGTCCTGAAGCTGTAATTTTCATTGTTTTAAAATTATGATTTTTCCTTGTGTCCTTTCTGCCTAGTCTTTAATTCTTCTATTCTACCTCAGAGTCATCAATTTGAACAGCAGGGAAATAATCCATTTCAGCTGACTGTAGCTAAACAGAGCTTTACCTGCTCAGTCCAGCAAGTGAAGAATATACAGGGTCTACTGTACCTTGATAGGCATAGGTTTCTTAAAGGTGATTTCAGCTTGCAGCCACACTCCCCTCGGGGACTCCAGCACAGACCAGATCTTCTCTTGAACCACATGGTTTTCTTCAAAGATATAAACTGCTAGGGTATCACTCATTTTCAAAAATCCATAGATGGCATAATGAAAACGCAGACAATACTGCAAGTTTCCTGGTAGGGAGGGACCATAGAGCCTTCCAATGTAGCCAGGCTGAGATGTAAACTTTGTGTTGGCCAGCAAGTAATACCCTGCAAACAAAACAAAACAAAACAAAACAAAACAAAATCAGTGCAACAGCAATGCAAAATAATCTATCCCAGTGAGGCAGGAGATTAGGGCATGGAAGACTGGCTGGGGAAACAGGTGTGACCTGTTATTTGCAAAGTTCCAGGACACAGTGCAAAATCATTCCCAGAGTCCTGCATGTGGACTTCTCATGAAAACTGGAGCAGTCTGAGGTAGGCTAGTCTAGACCTGAAGAGTGAGAGATGCAAAAAGGGCAATTGCTATGAGCTCTCTGCTTTCACACTGGAGGGCATCCTCCTTTTCCTACTTTTATGGGGCTCAAACTCACTGTGCAGTTTGTGTTTCTCTTCCTATTTTAAAAAATGTAGAACCTTGTTATTGTTTGCATTTGTCATGGTCAAATTTTGCGTGGGACAGAAAGAATCTAGAAACCTCCTCTAGAAGTTGAATTCAGCACCCAAAAGCCAGTAACACCAGTTTCGAGTGGGCAGTGTAGCTAAAGTAATGGGACTTGCTCTCAGTGACTTAAGAAAGAGAGGACATAATGTGATTGCTGTGGTTTAAATCATGGAACACATCTATGAGACTCTGTTACAAATAAAAACCTCCTGAAATCCTTAGATTGGCTACTATACTCTCCCAGATTCTAGTTGAGTTAGAAGAAATAAAGATAGGTAAAAAGGAGACAAAGAAAATTATTTTAAAAATGAAAACTGCAGCTTCAGGACACAAACTCTGTTTATTTTTTCTTCTCCCAGAATACAGTATGCCTGGGTAATCCCCTTCCACTCATCCTCTGCCTGGGTCACACACACTCTACCAGCTGCATGTAGCTTCCCTCAGAGAAACCCTCCCTTGGTCCCCAGGCCCAGTCTGCTTCTCCCCTCTCTGTCCTTGGAGCTTACTTTGTTTGTTCCATGGCACTGAAGGGATCAAAACATGTCACCGCAAAATATGTCACTGTGGCAATATTGATTACTTCGTGCTGAGGGAATGTGAGAAAAACTTTTGTATTGCCAGTGAATGGGACCTGTGGCCAAAGGCAGAGCTGCACAAACCAACTACTAAAGTTTCGCTTATCATCATGCATTCGTTTCCTCCACGTATTCCTCGGTTACTTTTCCATACTGCTCCTTGTAGCTTAAACCCTTTTCCTTCTCCACTTCCTTTGCCTTTTCCACTACTCTATCATTCTTTGTCAAGGTGCTAGATAAGCTCTCAGGCCTCTATACTTCTCTCTACGTCTTCATTTTTTAACGAAGGCTCTCATGTGCAAATCAAACTATTAAATAAAATGTGTACGTTTCTCTCCTGTTAATGTTTTATGTTAGTCTAATTTTTGGCCTCAGTCACAGAAACTAAGAGAGTAAAGGAAAAGTTTTCTTTCCTGACAGCACTTGCTACAACTTCTAATTACAAGGCATGATAAAAACTATTAATGTGACATTTTTTGTAAAATAATCTTATTACAGTAAAAGACACATGGGCATGGGACACTGTAAAGCACTCTCCCCTGCTCTAAACGTAGTGATCACATTGTTTTTGCCACTTTTCGAAATGTCTGCCTTTCACAGGCCTTTCTACTTTAGGGACGAGCCAGGAGCTGCACGATGCCACATGAAGTAAATAAGGCAGATGAGGACGCACCACCCTGACAGAAGCTGCTGTAATGTCTCGATCATTTCAGGCATCCAGACAGCCACGATGATGCAGCTAAAGACCCTCAGGAAAGCAGACTTCCACAACTGCTTCAGAAAGCAGTTAGAATGATGGAAAAGTGTGTTCAAAGTCAAGGGGAGGATTCTGAGGAGGCTAACGGCAATGTGTTTTGACTGTACTAAATTTTTAAAAATCGCTATATTTTTTAAATCACACTCTGTATAAGTTTGTTCATGCATACATTTGTCTCATGTTTCTCTTGCTCATGGAAATGACTGTCAGCCCACAAGGGTGGACTTTGTATTTTTGTACTGTATCCACCAGGGGAAAAGTCTGGCCAGGCTGGAGTAGGCTTTGTGGGGCCTGTAATTCTTCAACATTGGCAATCTCTAAGAAAAGAGCATAAAATTACAGGTACTAAGGTGGCAAAGATTCTTTCCAAGGCCTTTCTCAGTGCCTTGGCAAGTGAGAGGCCTTGGAATTTATTCATTTTCAGCTTCTGGGTAAATTCACGTCAGTGCTCAGAATATAAAAACTTGATGAAAAAAAGGATGACATTCTAAGCCCTTGAGATCACTCTAAACCACCAGTCTTCCCAGTGATGAGCCCCACAAGGGATGTCATTCAAGTAACCATATGTACACATGGCTCAAAATGTGGGTTCAAAGGGCCCTTAAGACACAGTAAGTACCCACACAATATTATTCAACAGTTTCTCCCCATATTATGCTTTTTATTGTAGTAAAATATACTACATAAAATGGACCAATTTAACTATTCTAAAGTGTACATTGCAATGTTATTTAGTACATTCATAATGCTATGCAACCACCACCACTACCCAGCTCCAGAACACTTTTTATGAGTTCAGAAGGAAACCCAGGACCCATTAGACAAACATCCTCCATTACAGGCCTTGGCAACAATGAATCTGCTTTCTATCTCTGTGGATTTGCCTGTTCTGAAGATTTCATGTAAATGGAAATTAACAGTTTTTCAGAAGTATTTCATCTAAAGTGAAGAGTAAAGTCATTTCCGAAGGTCTGACTATTTAATTAACTGGCAAATACTTTTTGTAGCCCACTGGTTTGAACTAGAGTTTTTAAACAAGGTCAAACTCAGGGTTACTGATTATCTTTGCTTCTTTGTGGCTGCCTTGTTCAATTTTTTGAAGTCACTATAAAATGGCCAACGAGCCACTGATGCATGAATACCACCCCGAAATATCCCACATGGACAGACTTTTAACCTACCTAAGCCTGTGGTGTGGTCTCCAGTCCGATACATGTTTGGTTTTACTTTCACTCGGGTCCAACCTGGACCTTCTTTGTCTTGGTAAAAGTTGCAGAGGTCTTCCTCAAAATCACAGCTGGCTTTCATGGCACTGAATGGAAGCTCTGAGCAAACGAAAACCACAGTGATGGTCAAACCTAAGGATCTTAAAGGGCGAACAGGGCTACGTCAACTGACTATATACATCATTACACTTGTGCCAGGGGAGATGGAGGAAGTAAATCACAGCCAAGTATTTTTACAGGAACAGCAAGCTAACAGGTTCGCAGGAAACTAGCATTTCAACATGACAAGAAAATTATTCTTTTCCTCTCTAAAGGGAAAGGAGAAGGATCTCTATAAAAATAAGTTAGTACCAGACTCCCCCAAAAATTTCCTTTCAGGATGCAGAGACTATAAGCATTCATTCACAGACTTCTTCATAATTCAAAATCCATGCATAGGAAAAAATAGGCTTTTTAGGGGACTCAGTGTTTCTCTAAGACATATATTTTGGAAATATTAGTTTCCAGAAATAATGTTCCTTTGTTGATCTATCTTTGTGTCAAAAGTATTAGGTTAGGGACTGATTTGCTTGGAGAAAATCAGCAGTCAGCATAAACCATGCAGTTTAAAAGCCGCACCGGACCTGTGATTTATTCCAGGGGTTGCCTTTAGTCTGGCTTTGCAGAATGCTATTCTGATTCACCTCCGCCTATATGGCACCGCCTTCTAGGTTATCCCGATGGAGGGTAACAAGAGATGTCGGTACTTTTGAGAACAACTTTCATCCTACTGACAAATGACTTGTAAGCCTGCCTGTTTCGACTGCCCTCTGGACCCAGAGTGGACCTGACGGTGGCAGCTGGAGACACAGCCGCAGAGTCAAGTGTGACCTTGGTCTGCAGGCTGACAGATGCATTAGGCCGTTCTAGGTACAGGAAGGAAGGGTACTGTTTCTTATGAGTGGAAAATCATCCCTAGAGCAATTTTTGGGTTCTGGGAGCTGTTTAGGGACAACGGCTCACCATGTTCCCAATTTGTCGATTTTCCAAGAAAGAAAACATTTCAGTGGGTTAAAGAATCGACCCGATTCCAGGGGTAGAAAGAAGCATGGCAACCAAACACCACAGAGGATCCAAGATCCAAGCCTGTGCTCAGAACACCGCGATGTAAAGGGTGCTGTGGGTGCCACTGGAAGAAGTGGTGAACCAACTTTAAGTTAGCCAATCATCAGTGTTAAATCTCCTGAGCTTTGTAATAGTGTGTTTGGTTTCAGAAAATAGACGCTGAAATATTTAGGAATATTTGGCTGAAACATATATGGGCGTTCTATGCAATATTCTTGCAAATTTTGTCTGAGTTTGAAATGAAACAAAAATAGCCTCCAAAAAACCAAAAACTTAAAAAAGTAACTGATAACATCTTACAGAAAATGAAAAAAAAAAAGGAGAAAATTTCTCTGTATAACCAGAACCTAAAGGTATCTGAGGCTTCATGCTCTAGGAACAAACTCCAAGAGCTAGATAGGCGGAAAGAAATGATAGAACTCTCAGTGGGTCGGCGCATGCCCTGCTCTGCTTGATTTGGGCAGCATCAGGGAGTATCGGAAGCCCTGAAGAAAAAGTCTGTGGAAAACGCATATGATGTACTCCAACAGGGATTCTTCAGATTTCTCCAATGAAGATTCAAAATCACCCTACGACAGTCTCCAGTATTAGTTAACCCTCTGCTATTTGTAAGTGGAAAAATACAGAAATCCAATGGAAATCCACAGATGGTCATCTAGTTCAGGAAGTGATCCCAAGCACCAAGTGCAAAGGAATGGGAAACCAGCAAAATTACTGATCGGCAAGGAATCTCAATGCAGCAATCTTGGGTGGCTGCAAGAAAATTTTACTTATTTATTAGGTAGGAAAGAGAAGGAGGTAGTGCTAAAACTTAAAAGTCAAAAGCAGTTTTACTTATTAATTATTAATTATGACTATTTTTTTGAGCACTGGAGACTGAACCCAGGCCTTACACTTGCCAGCCAATGGTATACTACTGACTTACACCCCGAGCCTTTTTTTTTTTTTTTTTTTTTTTAATTTTAAGACAAGGCCTTGCCAAGTTGCCAGGCTGGCCTTGAACTTGCAATTTTCTCACTTCACTGCCATGCTTAGCTCAGCAGTTTTATGTATCACCACCATAACATAAGAGCAGTCAGTAGGGGAATGGACTCATGAACTGGGACATCAAGAAAATGGAATGTCATCACTGCTAGGAACAAATTAGCTTTCAAGCCAAGAAACTACATGGAGAAAATTTCAATGCACATTACTAAGTGAGGAAAATCAGTAAGAAGAGGCTAAATACTATATGAATCCATGATACAGCATTCTGGGAAAGACACAACTATAGGAAGAATGAAAGAATTGGAGCAGTGAAGGATATTCTATGCAACACTGTAATGATCCGTATGTCCTTATACATTTGTCCAAACTAGAATGTACAATGCCTAGACTAGACCTCAACATAGACAGTGATGTGTGTATGTGGAAGGGCATATGAGACATCTCTGTACTTTTTGCTCAATTTAGCTGCAAACCTGTGAGTTCACTAAAAAATAAAGTCTATCAAAAAACAAAGCAAAACAAAACTTGATAGTAAGAAAGGATCACTTTTCTCCACAGTGATGCTCTGAATCATACAGAAAAAAAAAATTCCTGATGATGTGATTCTATTCCTTTGCTAAGTACCTACTCTTACGAGTGGATGTGTCTGTGGTCTGATAAAAAGAAAATCTCCCAACTGTGACTCAAAGACTAAATCTGTTCCCTCTAGAATGCTGTTTTTACCCTGGGACAGTATGTGACTGCTGAGGATAGAGTCCGAGGGCCTGGTGGTGACCCCCACACTGGGAGCTGCCTTGGGTGGAGACAAAGCCTTTGCTTCAAGTTCGTTTCAGAAGTGCTGCAGAGTGGTGATCACAGATGGAGCTGGTAGGGAGTGTTGACAACATAGTCAAAGAAGTAGGAGGGAATCAGAGAGAGATGGAAGCCCTCGAGCCTCAGCTGATAATCATGGGGGAAAAGAAAGAAAGAAACAAGACCAAATAAAGCCACTTGGAGCAAATTTCCAAAAAGTTCCACCATGTAAGTTTTAGTTAATTACTTCTTTTCTGACATTTGAATCTCTTGGAAATGAGAGGCTTTGAAGATAATCTAATTAGCTGGAGTGCAGCGCAGTTTCAGAAGAATGATCAGGGATGTTTCTCCTCATTTTCCTCCGCTCTGCAGAGTTCATGGAGGCAAATGGCATCAGCCCTACAAATCTAAAAGGCTCATCAGTTCCTGCAGAGCCAGAAGAGACAGACACTGGTGGCAGGGTGCTCTAAAGGCTGCTAAACTCACAGGGTAGTTTTATTTCAGTGGACACAGCTCAAAGCCATCTTGGGGAAGAGTGAAGACACAAGGGGCTGAGCTACTGTGTGGCCTGTGAAGCCCCTTGAGGGCATTTGAGATAAAGTAAAATTGGCAACTTCAGGTATAACCCAGGCTGCTGCTGAATAGGATCTGAGTTCGCAACTAATGAGAGGTCTGGGCAGCATGTTGCTGGTAAATGGCCAAGGCAGGGTCCTTTGAGAGCAGCACTCGTGAATGTCAGGATACCTCCAGCCTGCACGTGGGGTAACTCAAGCCCAGAGAGTTGGGGCTGTCCGTGGTTGGGGATGGGTAAGATTCCTAACAGTGGATAGGACTGCCTGTTAGATACCCAGGGATTTATAGGCCCCCAGAGAGCTTACTCCTCTAGTGTAGACTGCAGGCCAAACAAGGCAATGGAAAGGAAATTTGTGCTTGGAAAAGACTGGCGAAAGGACATGCTACTGCTTAAAGTGGGGTGGTTTCACTGCCCTTAGGAAGCATACTGGGGAGTCACTTAGGAGAGCCACAGGACACTGGTTTTTAACACCTGTGACTCCGATGGCTCTTAGGTGTGGGAAATCGATCACCTCCAAACCTAACTAGATGACAACAACAAGATGGTTCATATGTCAGAATAGCAGTGCAGATGGGAAAAGAAACTTAAGATCCAGCCGGGAAAGCAGACACAAAAAGTCAGAAGAAAAATATCAGCCTGTGTTATGAAGCATGAGGGCATAAACTATTCATGAAGTATAAGATAAAGTATGGAAATAAAGGGCAGAAGCTCTGGAGACCCGGAATCTGGCCTCTGTCCCAGAGTCTATGCCTAACAACAGCAAAGAGGAGCCTTTTAAAAATAATGGGTAATAGAAATGAGGAAAACTGTCTAAAACTAAGGATAAAGAGGTTGTGCAATTACTGTCAATGTAATTGGAATATTAATTGGTGGGATTAGGGAGAGATCACATTTTAGAGTAGGATACCTTTGGTTTCTGTGTCAAATTTAGATGCTCTTTTAAACTTTTGATTTTTCTTTGGTTTAAGTCATTTTAGAAATATGCAAGCCCAGGGCTCACTTAGTATGTGGTTAAGAGGTAGAGAACTTGCTTAGTATGTGTAAGGTCCTGGTTTGACTTCTGGCACCAGGGAGGAAAAAGGATAAAGATAAAAATATATAAATCTAGTATGGTTCTGTTTCACTACTTTTTTTTTTTTTTAAAATGTAATTATTAAAAAGTAATATTTTGTTTTAGCAAATTAGTTTTCTTTCTGATTCTGGGGTAGTAGTTTAGTTCCAGTAGAAAGTATTTCTTAGATCTTCTGAAACCTTTTATGAGAGTCCAACTTTAACATGTGAAAGTCAGACCACAAGGTCAAGTTCAAAAATTTATTTCCTGGGCTCTAAAGGCCAGGATGAGGACTCGTTAATAAGATGGGATGAACACTGTGTCTCCCTGAGCCCTCAAGGAAACAAATTCACTGAATGGTAAGGTCAATTACATGTACACGTTACCATTATTATTGCATTGTTATGCTTCTTACTCTACAACATCTGTTTCCTACTTGACTTTGAATCACTTGCTAATTTATTAAATTGGAAAGTAAAAATGTCAGGATAAAATTATTTGAGGGTTCACTTTGAAAAAAAAGTAAGTAAATTAAGTGTGTATACTACTTAGCCAAAACCATCCTAGAGATGTGTACTAAATGCTAATGTATTTAAAATAAGGACTCTTGTAAATCTGGGATAAAGTTGGAAAGTTATTATAATTCTTTTCAGTAGATTGAAAGCAATTTTTACATCTATCCTGCCACTCATCAAGGTACCCTTTAAAAATAAAGATGAGTGAGAAAAAAATTAATACTATTTAAATTGGTTTTTTTTTTTCTACTAGGTAGAGAAAATGAAACACATATTTTCAGAAAAATCAGACTCACTCAGTGAGGGAACAAAAGTGGGTAATATTCCAGAAAATTGACAATTCAAATCATTAAGATTTTAAGGATAAGAGAAAAGGTGAGGAAACAAAGACAGTTTAAAGCAAGTCCTGAGACCAAGTATCTATTAAGAAAGAAAAATTTTAAATGAGGAACAGAAAAAAAAAAAAAAAAAAAGAGGAATGCTTACCTGTCTGATTTTGGCAGTGAACAGGAGAGAAAGAAATATCATCCAGGGCAACATATCCTCCTTTGGGACCATTGAAGGCAACTTCAAAAATAACCTAGGAAGAAAATGACACTTTGCCACATGCTTACATATTTCTGTTAGGCTGAAGTATTCTTTTTTTTGTTTGTTTGGTTTTTTGGTGCTAGGGATTGCCTCATGTTTGCCAAGCAGGTACTTACACCGCAGAGCTAAACCCCCAGCCCCAGCTTAAGTATTCTTACCCATGGTTTAAAGTGACATGCCAATCAAACAGGTGAGTCCAAGGCACAGCGACTCCCAAATATAAGAGTTTGGAAAACACCCTAACCAACCCACAATCTCCTTTTAGGAGAAGGAAACTGCTATAATCTGAATGTTTTTGTCCCTGAAAAGTTTTACATTGAGATCTAATTCCCAGTGTAACGGTATCAGGAAGTGGCCCTCTGGGGAGGTGATTAGGTCCCCACAGCAGAGCCCTCAGATATAAATTAGTGTCCTTCTAACAACAGGGCTTGTTTGTCTGTTTCATCACACAGTGAGAAGGTACCAATCAGACACCAGATCTGCCAGCACTGTCACCTTGGACTTCCCAGGTTCCAGACTTCTGGGTCCATTTCTGCTATTGATAAGCTATGCAGTCTATGCCATTGTGTTATTGCAGCCCCCATGGACAAAGGCTCCTAAGTTTGCATTTAGTGATAGATATTTCCCTCTTCCTTGTGGGTCAGCTGCAATGCCCATTCTGGGGGAGTGTTTTTTTCTTTTTTGGTACCAGAATCAAACTCAGGACCCTGTGCTTGCCAGGCAGGTGCTGTGTCACTGAGCTATATCCCCAGCCTCTCATGTTGTTTTTGATATTAACTCCAGAATCCATTAGCGTTATGAAGTCATTTGAAAGGAAAACCAGGCTAAGTGTACACAGTAGGCCAGAGCCTCTCTCTCTCCCTGCCATCCAGAGGAAGCTAAGCCACGCGAGTCCCTATCCCTTCTTCCCACGTGGAGCTCTACTGAAGGAAAGATGCAGTGATTAGACATGAGTGCCTCGACCTTGGCACATCCAGGCATATTCCAACGGATGGAGAGAACATGGATTCATGAGTTCAGTCCCTTTAGTTTTGCTGTCCTACCTGCCACTGAGTCTGAACTCAATGGTCTTTCTGCCTGTGACCATGGAAGGGGATCAGGTGTGGTCAGCACAGCCTGCACCAGTGTAGGGGAACCACCCAGGTGTGCAGTGCACACTGTGTGGACCAAGAGCATGAGGAGACTGGGGTTGGGGGTAGCACATGTGTGTGCAAGGGCCAGACAGGGAGTATACATGTGTGAAGTGGGCTTGCGCTGTGCACTTCTGAGAAGTGGAGAAAGCAAGTCTCTCCAAAGGAGGTGGCAGCTACTAAGCTTCATCCATTGCTGAGATTTGGGAAGTCAGGAGTGCTAAGGCTGAATTGTGTTTCCTCCAATTCATACTGAAACCCTAGCCCTCAGCACCTTGATATGTTACATTATTTGGGAATAAGGTGATTGCTAATGAAACTAATTAAAGTGGGGCCATACGTGAAGATCAAGATAGAGACCTATAAGCCTCTCAGTACCAAAGACTGCCAGCAAACTGCCCCAAGTGAGAGTGAGACAGAGAACACATTCTCCCTCAAAGGTGTGGAAGGAACAAATCCTTCCCTTTATCTGGTACTTGTGGCCTGCAGATCTGTGAGACACTAAAGCTCTACTTTTTTTTTTAAGCCACCCACTCTGTGCTAACAAACTCTAGCAAACAAACAGAAGGCCTAATGCGTTTGCATCTAAGAAGTTATCAAGAGGATCTAAATTTCTGATTTCCACTTGAAAGTTTCAATGCTGGCAAGTAGTCAAAAAATAAAAACAAACAAGAAAAACAACAAAAAACCATCGCAGGAACCAGACAAATAACTAGATTTGACCCACGGGCTTACACTTCTCAACCTCTTTTGAAGACAACAGCTTGTCTTAGAAGCAAACAGACCAAAGCCCAACTCCATGCTCCCCCAACTCAGGCAATCTTTTTTTTTTTATTTAAAGAGAAAAAAGAAAGGAAATAAAAAAAAAACAAAGCAGTAAAAGGGTACAAGTAATACAGCATTTCAAGAAAAAAAATATATAGTAAGAAATCATTAGTTAATAGGTTACATATTGTCTTCTTAGAAACAGTTGTCCAAATTATAAAATTAAAGCATATAAAGTGGACATTCATACAGTGAGATTGGAGACAGTTCTGTTCAAGGATCCAACAAAAGCTCCATGACTAAACCTCTTGGAGTCCCGCTGTTCTTATTTATTTAAACAGGGATAATAACATCTCCTTTTGGGGGCTTTTGAGGGAGTTAAATGAGATAATGGATATAAAGATCCTAGCGCAGAGTCAGTTACATAATAAGCTCTGAGCTAATTTTACATCTTTTCCTTCAGATTGTCTTGAACTCTTGTTCAGATTTGTGCCCACTGCGCCACTAATTAGCTTGAGTCGGCCTTGTCTCTCTTCCAAGCTTTGGCTTCATTTTTTAAAAAAGATCGGACTAGATGGTACTTAGAGTCCCTTTCAGCTTAATCACAGTGTTCTCCCAAATGCAAGGGGAGCCCTGGAGGTTTGTCTCTTGCAAGTAGCAAGGGCCATAAATGAAGGAACAGACATGGACATAGAAGGGGCCACAGCTCCGTGACGCTGAGCTCTTAAGCTCTGGCTGGGAAAGGAAGTGATTGACCGAACTTGGCTGATGCTGAGCAAGCAGGTTAAGAGTGACATTTCTGAGGAGAATATGCTAATACAGCCCACAAGCCAGTATGTTCTCTTAGCCGGAAAGACAGCCTCCACCGCTCATTTTCCTTTTTAAAATTCATTGAGAACGTCGTGATACTAAGTTTACTGATTTCCTCAAGACAAATTCCCATTTTTGGCAACTTCAAGAGCAAATAATAGCAGCAATAGGTTCAGACCAGTGGAGTAAAACCACATACACATGGACCCAGAGATGTGCACTGAGATCTACTAGTGGCTGACGTTGTAATTTTTCAAATGCATTGTCTTGATTTATTATTATTGTGGTGATTTTGTACTGGGGATTCAACCCAAGACCTTTGCACTGAACTATATCCTTCCAGAACTTGAAAAAACAAAATTAGAGACATGGTCTCACTAAGTTACTAAACTGCCCAGTCTGGATTTAAAACTGTGATCATTCAGCCTCAATCTCAGCCACATTTCACTCACAGAAAATACAAAACTTTTATATGGTTGCATGAGCAGAGCTGGTGAAGACAATATATTTGTGTGTGTGTGTGTGTGTCTGTGTGTGTGTGTGTGTGTGTGTGTGACTCTTTTCATTCACATTAATAGGAGGAAAATATTCTGCAGCAGTACATGCATTTCCTCTTCTTCTTCTTTTTCTCCTTCTCCTTCTCCTTCTCCTTCTCCTTCTCCTTCTCCTTCTCCTTCTCCTTCTCCTTCTCCTTCTCCTTCTCCTTCTCCTTCTCCTTCTCCTTCTCCTTCTCCTTCTCCTTCTCCTTCTTCTTCTTCTTCTTCTTCTTCTTCTTCTTCTTCTTCTTCTTCTATTTTTCCCCTTGTAACCCAAACTTACAGAAAAATTTCCACTAGACTGCAAATTGAGGCCTCGGCAGACTTGAGAATAGGAAATAGCACACATTCTACAAGAGGCACTATGTTCTCTCTGAGACCATTCAGGGTGGGGTGGGAGGTAAGAGGGAGGTAGGAAGAAGGTGGGGATGTGGCAGGCATGCCGTCAGTAGATGGCACACATCGGAAACCAGGACCCAGCCCAGCGTTCTCTGCAGCTCTACAACAGGCTAGCAGATGGCACCACTGAACAGAGGCCAGAGAAATAAACACTTCTGCACTCCAAGGGAACTGGGAGAGATACTGCAAAAAGCACAAATGAAAAAGTGTGTGGCGGTGTCAGTAATTTGTAACTAAGTCCCTACTGATAGTGCCAGGTCCTTCTGACAGTATAGCAACCACCAGGCTGCACCCAGGACCCTCGAGGTCCTTGGCACGGTCTCCTCTTAAAGCTGTAGGTCAGATCTCAGTCTCAGATGTTTCCTAAGCTCTCTGGCACTCGCCAGCTGTGTGGCCTAGAAAAAAAGATGTTAAACTTGTTGGATACTGTTTTCTCCTTTCTCATCTGCAAATATGGAAATAATTCTATCTGCTTCGTTAGTAAGATTCGAAAGTGCTTTGAAATTCTGAAATATACAGATAGACATAGGTCTGTGAGGATGAACACCAAGATGCTTGTCGTCTTCATCTGTGTGGATAGGCTCAGGATGTTTTAACTTATCTTGCTTCCCTGAATTTTCTAATTCCTTGCACTGAACGTTTATCACTTACATAACTGTAAAGATACTTTTAAAATAAAGGCACCAAGCTTGTATCAAATTAGGGCATTAATAATAAGTTCATGTCTGATTCTGAGACATTACACTGCAAAGAAACAAGTCACTTTTCTTCGGACAAGTCTAATCCCTCCACTAAGAGAAGAAGACGTCAAAGCTGCTCTCAAGAATGGAAGTCCAAGAATGAGTTGCTCACAGGAGCCTGACCTCGTCTTTTGAACTCTCCAGGGTCAGAGCACAACGTCCAGAGAAAGCAGGTGCCGGGAGATCTAGTTGGTTGACTGGCTTTTTCCATATTTATCCTTATTAAAAATACATTCCTTAGAACATGAAAGTGATAAAAAAAAAAAAGGCAGAAGGGACACACAGAGGGCAGAAAGGAGGAGAAAGGAAAAGAAAGATTAAAATAGACATACAAGCAGGGGCGCCAGGACATAAAGGAGACAATGGTCACTGGGTATAATGTTATGGTGGGAGGGCAGAAATAAATTTTGGTGTCTCATGCGCAAAAGGTTGAATATAGCTAATAATAATATATTGCATATTACAAAGTAGTTAGAAGAGAGGATTTGAGGGTACTCTACAAGGAAATGATAAATGAGTTGATGGGTATGTTAATTACTCTGATTTGATCATTGCCCATGATATCCATGTTTCAAAACATCACACCGTACACCAAAAATGGGTACAATTATTTTTGTCAATTAAAAGTAAAACTAAACTTAAAAAATAAATTCAATGGGTGCTCACTTTTTAAAAAGCCCATTAAGATGCAGCAGGAAAGAAGGAATATTGAGTGTGTGACCCCCGTGTCTGTGCAGTGGCGACCCCACCTTGTGTCCAGGCCAGGCTATCCTGGCTCCCCAGCTGCCTACCTCCATGGGGTAAGGAGCACTGAACTCCACCTCCGCCAGGTTCCAGGCAGCGTTCCCCGGACTGCCCACCTTCCACAGTTCCTCATACAGGCCCGCCGTGTCCCGAGTGTAGAGGGCGAAGACGTTGTCATTGTCCTGCTGGAGCTGGTAATAGAAGGACAGGCAGCCGGACATGGGGGCCGTGGTCATCGGGGAGATGAGCTGTGCCACCTCCTGGAAGTGCTTGACGTAAACAGAGTCCACGTACATGTAGTGCCCTGGAAAACACAGGCAAACCCGGGGTAAGTCAGGCTGGGGGCTGCAGAGGAGCGGCACAGCTTGGGGGCTCCTTCCACATAGTTCATGGGAGTGGAGGAGAGGAGGCAGGTGGACTGCAGGTGAAAACGGTCTGGCGTGAATTAATATTGGTGCTGGCAGACACGCATGCCGGCTTGGTGGCACATTGTGAAAACTAGAGGAGTTAGAAGCGGGCCACTCTTTTTACTTCTCTTACTTTTGATTGAAGTAAAGTGCACCTATAGGAAGGGAGACGCATCATCTGTCAAGGGCTAGAATTTTCACAGGATGGACACAGCCCTGGGAAGGAACAGAGCATTGTCCCAAAGCCACCTCTGCCCAAGACTTCTTTGGATTTTAAGACCATAAGCATGTACTGAGCGTGCCATCTGCTATGCAAAAGGTACTGAGAGACACGTTGGACACTCTGACAATTTGTACAAAATATCATTTTTTTTTTTTTATATACTGGGAATCAAACTCAAGACCTCACGCTTGCCAGGCCAGCACTTATGCCACTCAGCTATATCCCCGACCCTCACTGTGGGTTTTTTGAGTGAAACTAACACCGTGAATGCAAACTAGCTGGCAATGTGTGACTCGTTAATGGGACGTGTAGGCTGATCAGCACTGTAGACAGGGCTGGATTTGGAAGTCTGAACTTGTGATACTGCTTCTGGTGGACTCAGAGAGTGACCTCCTATAGAGGACGGGAACTGAAAAGCAGTGCGGTGGAGACTGCTTTGATTTGGCACTGATGAGAACTGACTGTGAGTTCTGTTCCCTCTCTGCGAAGGCTGTGACCTTGAACCAGTTTCTGAATTTGTCTGATCTCTGGTATCCATGCAGGGTTGATTCCAGGACCCTCCGAGGAGACTCTAATCTGTGGGTACTCAAATTCTTTATCTAAAATGAGGTAGTACTTGCATATAGCTTATAAATCCTTCCCTGTACCTTAAATCATTTTTAGATATTTTATAATACCAAATATGATATAAAGTCCACATACATAGTTACCCTGTATTTATTAGGGAAAATATCAAGAAAAGGTCTGTACTGCAATTTTTTTCTGAATGGTTTTTATCTGTTAATTGCATTGACAGATGTGGAACCCTTGATACAGAATGCCAACTACATCCCTGTCTGTAAAGTATAGCTGGCACCATGTAATTGCCCAGCATAACTGTAATGAAATAAAGTAATGCCAATCATGAACCTAGAACTATGCTTTCCCTGTAGTCTGTTTTATATAAGGGGTAGTTATTATTATATGTATGAATTTATTTACTTAATGGTACCAGGGATAGAACTCACAACTTCATACTTGCCAGGCAGGGGCTTATGCCACTGAGCTAAATCTTCAGCCCCCTGTATGAATTTATTTATACAATCTCAGAGGGATGCTCCACAATGTATCTTGGACAGACTATTATTTCTATGTACAAGCTCAGAAAAATTACTACTTAATATCTTAGGTTTTATTATATAGTGCCTGGGTAACAGGAATTTCTTTTCTCTTGCCACATGAACAGTAAGAATATTAGGAACAATATAGTATGTGCAATTCCTTTATGGCTGGCATGCTACTGGTCTGTGGAAGGCACTCAGCAGACGGTTTTTCAACGCATGAATGCAGTCTCAGAAAGGTTATCACCCTTGCATGGCAAAGGAAAGATGCACAGGTCAAAGCTCAGTTTTTCGTGGTGGCAAATTGTTCCACCCCCTGAATAATCTCCCTTGCTTAAATGTGAATTTTCTTATCTTCTTGCTAAGCCATGCAATTGTGAATAAACAGAGATCACCAACTCATATGCTCAGGGGAGCCAGCCAGACCGAGTGTGTGCATGAAATGAACTGGTCAGGGAGGAAAGGAAGGCTGGCAAATTAGCTGCCAGCACTTGCAATCATATTTCTCCAGCAACAAGAAACAGCAATCGAGCTTCCCTGGGAAATCCCATAGTGCCAGGTCCCCATTCCCACAGCACCATCGTTAGCTGCTGGAAGGAGCCTGTGCTCTGCAGCCTCCATGAGTGTGCAGCTTGTGCTCCAGCTGCTGCCCCATCATCCAGCCCAGTACTACAGGAGTCTCCACCAGAGCCCAAACTCCAGGTTCATGTGGCAAATTTATCCATCTCTCAGTGATGCTCCTTGTATTTATTACTAGGGCTGACATAAAATACCATGCATGTACTGGGCAGCTTAAACAACAAAAGGCGATTGCCTTATAGTTCTGGAGGCTACCAGTCTGAGACCAGGATGTCAACAGGGGGCTGTGAGGGGAACATCTGTCCTGGGCCTTGCTCCTGGTTTCTGGTGGGCTACTGGCTGCCTGTGATATTCCTTGGCTTGCAGCTTTTAGTCTTTATCTTTATATAGCCTTTTCCCCATGCATGTGTCTCTCCTGTGTCCAAAGATCCCCTTTCCTTCAGCTCCCTGGTTATGTTAGATTGGGAGGCCCCTATGCTCCAGCATGACCTCATTTTCATTCTGTATGCACTGACCTAGTTTCCAATTAAAGTCACATCCTGATGTGCTGGCAGTTAGAGCTTCAATGTATAAGTATTGGGCAGCACACAACTACCCTAAAACGAACACCCCTACCAGATTTTTTAAAAGTTGGTATGTTCCAAGTAAATATATCTGCAGACTGGACATGGCTATTAGAGTCCTCTTGGTCATCTCCCACTTCTAAAGGGAGAATCAGGTTGTCAGCCTAGACCACACCAAAGAAACTCTGATGCAGAAGGAATGCTGCTTGCTCTTCCTTATCCTCAACTCGAATGACCTCTAAATCAGTCCTAGGGACCACTCAGCCTTCACTGAAATGCTCTGGTAATGGAGAATGTGGGGGACAAGTTAGCCTCTGTGATGGAACTCTGTTCACAAGAACTCACTTTGCCATTCTTTTAGGCTTGTGGCACACAGTGTATATACTATTGTTATTTTCTAATTATTTTGTTATGAAGTTTTTTCATAGAAGAAGATTGCTTTTTAATATTTTCTTCATTAATATTTACATGTATTACATTAAAATTTTAAAACAGCATTATATATATATATATATATATATATATATATATATATATCATGAAAGTATCAAAGGCAGAGATAAGCATGGGGTGTGGTGGTACAGGTCTGTAATCTCAGCACTCAGGAAGCTGAAGCAGGAAGATTGCTGTGAGCTCAAGGTGAGCCTGGGCTACATAGAAAGTTCAAGGCCAATCTTAACTACCTGGTATCCCACACACACACAAAAAGCACAAGACAAAGATGAAAGTTAGGTATGGTGGCACATACCTGTAATACCAGAATTCTGGGAAGCTAGGGCAGGAGAATCCCGAATTTGAACTCACCTTGGGCAATGTAGTAAGACCTGGTTTCTAAATTAAAAAAAAAATCTATCTATCTATCTATCTATCTATCTATCTATCTACCTACCTATCTATCTATCTGGATGGGCTGGGATGTATGGGGATATAGATCAGTGCAGTACCACACCAAAAAGAAAACTCAGAGATGAATTCTGAATTGACTTGGGTAACTGTACTTCACCAGCGAAACAGAATCCCTCTGCAGGTGTGCACCGGGGAACTGAGAGAAGGAGACAGAGCAAGGACCCTTGATACTTCACCTACTCCAGTGAGCAGGCCCCGAGCAGGCCCCAGAGGCGGGCCACGAGTTCTTTGTGGAGCGAGCTCGCTGCTGCAGGAACTGTAACTGCCTGTCAGTCTCGAATTTGTATCTGTGACAGTTTTTACCAAGGCCGCTCAACTGAGGGCTGCTCAACAATCCCTCTTTAGCAATATTAAACATCTAGTGTCTGACTACATTGGCATAAAGATGAATGTAATCTAGGCATGATATGGTTTTTCTTTCTTTTTAAGACAGGGTCTCACTATGCAGTTCAGGCTGGCCTTGAACTCACTATGTAGCCCAGGCTAGTCTTGAATTTACAGCAATCCTCCTGCCTCAACCTCCGGAGTGCTGGGATTACAGGTGTGTGCCACCATGTTTGGCTCATGGTATGTTGTTGCATCTGTTATTTATTTTTTTAGTAGTATAACTATCTTTATTATATTATATAGATAGATATAATTATATTATTTCTCTCAACTTCTCACACTAGTAAGATAATACGATCTTCACACATGCATGTCTGATTTATTCCACTTATGACTATGGTCTCAAGTTGCATACATTTATCTATAAAAGTCTCAACTTTATTCTTCTTTAGGGCTGAGTAGTACTTCACTGTGTAAAGGTACCACATCTTTTTTATCCATTCCTCATTTGATGAGTATTTAGTTTGTTTCCAAGATCTAGCTACTACAAATTGTGCTGCACATGTATCACTGTAGAATGATGTTTTTAATTCTTCTAAGATACCCAGAAGGGAAATAGCTCGGTCAAATGAGACCTCCAATCCTAGTTTTTTGAGGAATCTCCACATTTATTTCCATAGTGATTGCACCAGTATACACTCTCACCAACAATAAAGAAGGATTCTTTTTTCCCCATAGCCCCATCTGCATTTGGTATTAGTTGATTTCTTGATAATAGCCATTTCTTCTAGGGTGAGGTGGAATCTCAGTGTTGTTTGCATCTCTTGAATGACCAGTGATGTTGAACATTTTTTCATATATTTACTTGCTGTTTGTATTTCTTCATCTGAGAAGTATGCATTCTTCTCAGCTGCCCATTTTTGGATTGGATTTTTAAATCTGGGAGGACTGATATTTTTGAGTTTTTATATGTTCTTGATAGTAATCCTTTATCTAAGGAATAGCTGGCAAACATTTTCTCCCACTCTGTTCATTTCTCTTGCTATGCAAAAGCTTTTCAATAACATGAGATCCCAGTGGTTGATTCTTTATGCTAAGTCCTGTGCAATTGGGATTCTGTTCATAAAGTCTTTGCCTACCCCAGTGTCTTCAAGAGTTTTACCTTCCAGCAAAGTTAATGTTTCTGTTATAATATTTAG